GGGTGCCTCGGCTGTTAGGAGCCTGTGCTCTGTTTATGTAAGGATGTCATGAGGGTACTTTCATGACTTCCTTCTCCCTGGGATAGTGTTCCCGCTGACTTGGGGCTGAGGGGTGGTTGCTGATGCTTAGTGGGTGCCTGACCCTCGCTTCACCCCCCAGGTCATGTCCTCTCACAGATTTGAAGGAGACCATGGGTGGCCTCAGCCACAGCCCTCTTCTCAGGGTTCCCCAGGGTCTGTAGCCAATCCATCCCCACCACTTCCCCTCCCAGGCCTGTAGGTGTGGAGGCTAAGTGGGCCTCTCCTCATCCTGGAGGCCAGTGCAGACCAGCCATGGGTCAGAGGGCACCTCCCACCCCTGGACTGGGCTGGTGTTGGGGGGGAAGGTGGGAGAGGCATGGGACAGAGCCCAGAGCTCCTGAGAATGTGTGTGTGTGCTCGTATGCACTCCTGAGAGCTCCATGGGATGACACTTGTCTGGGGGTGAAGCCATCTGGTGGGGAATGATCTCCTGCAGGGGCCGCCACGTATGGCTGTTCAGGTTGCACATTGCAAAACTCTAGGGCCACCACTCCCACTCTCGCCATGGATGGATGGCATGTGCATCTGCACGTGTGCAGCAGTTGAGCATGTTGCAGAGGGCATCTCTGCTCCATCTGTGCGACAGGGCTCTAGGTAGGCGTGGTGGGGGAGGGCCTCTGCATCCTGCTTCAGGCATGAGTCTCGGTAAGGTGGTGAACGCACAGAGCATCAGACAGCTCTCAGGAGCAGGCAGGCGCTGTGTTGGGATGTGGGCAGAAGAGGCCTTGTTGAGGGCGTGCGGGGCCATCCAGGGACTCTTGGTGCTCTTTTGTTTCTGTGTCCTGGTGGGAGCTGGTCTGTGAAGGGTCAGGAGTCCCAGTGAGTCTTCTCGCTGCTGGAGTGAGGGATGCTGGGGCCCCTGAGTGAGCCCTGGGGTGTCCGAGGCATAGGGAGTTTCCTGTCCCCCATAGAGGGAAGGCACCTGGTGACGTAGCCTGGGGACATTGCCAGGTCCCACCTCTTGGACCCCTTCCCAGCCACGCCTCCTGGACTGACCGCCACCGCGTACACCCTGTGGGTCTGAGCGTCAAGTGGAACCACGTACTGCCTGTTTGTGGCCCAGGGCACTTGGCAGCCCGCCTGGGAGGCGACACTTCCTCCCGGAATTGCTGCGGAACTGGGTTAGGGAGTTGCCTTGCCCAGGAAGGGTCACATGAGGGGGTTCTCTGTTAGTGCCAGGAAGCGTAGGGCCCCAGGTGCTCCCGAGGTGCCTCAGTCTGAGGGTGATGTCCCTCACCTTTGCTCCGATGGCAGTGCCCCAGCCATGCTGATCTAAGGGGAGGGCCTCTCCCTGCCCTTCTGAGGGCTGTGTCCTGACCCTGCCTGGTGGAGAACAGGGCCCTGTTTCCACATTTCTACCAGTCTCAAGGGGAGTCCTGCCCCCGCCAGTCTGAGGACATGTTTTTGTGGTATGCCACCTTGCACGAGCCAGTTGTTCAGTGTTCAGGAATTCTGCACAACTTACAGAAACTTCCAGTGCTCATTAGGGCTCTCCTCTCTTTCAGGGAGCCGCATTGCTCTGGCAGTGCCATCTCCCCACCCTTCCCAATAGCCTCGTGACCTGCCTCATCACCTTTCAGAAGTGTTGTTTTCTCAGTGAGGCCCTCCCTGGCGACCCCTTCTTTGCTCTTCTCTGCTGTTGTCCTTCCAGAGCAGCTGTGACCGTCTGCCGACCACGTGCTCCATGTGCTGGCCTCTTTGTAGACTTCGGGAGGGTGGGGACTTGGGTTTGTTTATGTTCCTTGCTCAGAATAGGGCTGGTTCATACCAGGCACTCAGTAAGCCTTGGATGGGTAGGTGGATGGTGGGTGGTGAGTGGTCTATCTTCCCATGGATAGATGGATAGGTGGATGGATGGATGGATGAATAGATGGATGGTGGGCAGATGGTTAAGTGGACAAGTAGATGGGTGGAAGGGTGGATGAATGGATAAAGGATGAATGGGTGGGTAAAGGGTGAATGGATGGATAAAGGATGGTTGGTGGGCATAGGGATAGACCACAAGACCCAGGGGTGGGCCCAGGCACAGGGGCTCCCAGCTGCCCTCCCAGTACAGTCAGGGCCCAGATCAGAATCTGATCCCTCCAGCTAAAAATGGAGGCATGGCATCCCTGGCCTTCTGGCATAGCTGGCCAGCAGCATTTCTGAGCCACTAGGAAGCAGGTGGGGCTACAGGACAGCCAGAGTCCGGCTTGGGCCTGGCCAAGGAAGAGAAGGTGACCAGCCATCCCAGTACGTCCAGGGTTGGGATGGTTCCCAGGCCACAGTGCTCAGTTTAATGGGATTTTCTGGGAAATGGGGCTTTCAGAGCTAAAACCCACTGCCTGAGGAAGGATGACAGACCCCAGCCTGTCCTCCTCCTGCGGGGCATCACCAAAGAGTAAAGATAAGGAATCCTCTCTAGGGTCCAGCTTAGAGAGAAGATCACTTGTGTGACTGAATGAAATGGAATGTGGCATCCTGCCTTCTCACCTTTCAGCTGTGTGTGGGCTGTTCTTCAGCCTCCATTTCCCCTCCCCCTTTGCTGGGTGTCTGTACAGTGAGCAACCTGCACAACTGTGCCAGGCCTGTTCTGTCCTTGCAGTGTCTCTGGGTCCAGCCTTCTTCTTGGGCAGAGACCCTGCTCCGAGCCCAACCTGAAATACTGTCCTCCAATAGTGAAGGTGGGTTCATGGGGGTGATTACTAAAGGTTAGAACCAAGAGTCTCAACTAGAGCCTTACCAGGATCCCCCAGAGGACCTGATGACACAGCGAGTCTGTAGTGGGGCCGGGAAGTGCTCATTTGCATTCCTGCCAAGCTCCCAGGTGCTGATGCTGCGTGTCCAGGGACCCCACTTTGAAAACCACTGGATGAGGGCATTTGTTTTCTTGCAGAGGCTCGTTGCCAGCAAGGCAGTGAGGAAGTTCCCCCAGTCCCCATATTCACTCCTTTTGGGAAGACCTGTCATGGAGTCCAGAAGCAAGAAAGACCTGTCGCCAGCTGGTGACAACAGTGACACCTGGTGGCTTATCGGTGCTAGAGAAGGGTTCAGACTCACAAACAGAACTTCTTACCCCCATAGAGCCTGTGAAGGGCCCTGTCGACACCCCCACTTCACAGATGAGGAAACTGAGGCTCAAGGATAGTCAGAGAGCCAGCACTGGCCCCAGGTCTGTGCACTCACCACTCTGATGTGCAGGGTGGAGCTAGTGAGGCTGGGGACCCCTGGGGTCACAGTGGCGGAGTTCTGCCTGTGATGAGACTGGGCCCCCTCCTTGGGCCTTCCACAGGATGGGAGCGTAGTACTGAGGGCTGGGCTTCCCCCTCGCCGTTCCTGCTTCCCCAGAAGGGGGGCCCTCCCCTGGGTCCTTGGACCCAGGCCCGGGCTGTGGATGAGTGCCACTTATGTTTTGTGATTACACTCTGCTAGCCACACTGTGCAGGGGCCTGTGGCTATGGGGAACTTGTACCCCATCTAGGGCTTAGGTTGGCCCTGGGGAGCAGGGGCTCTGAGGGGCAGCCTTGAGAGAGCGAGCCCACCGTGGGGTCCGCAGGAAGAAGGGCTCAGGTCTTGGGGTTTCCTGGAGGCTCAGGAATATCCCAGAGCACAGCTGGTGCACCTGGCTGACCCGTTGTGACTTTCCGCCTTAGCTGAGGTCTCCAGGGCTGAAGGATGCTTACGACAAAAATGGCTGGATGCGAAGGACTGGGCCTCCCTGCCCCTGGTCGTGGCGCAGGTTCTCAGCATGCCTGAGCTGAGAGCATTTGCTCTGGGCGGGGAGGTCTGGGGGTGGACAAGAGGCCACATGCTGCTCCACAGGTACATCGGCAGCACCTGGAGCAGGGGTCATTGGGTGCTAGGCAGTGTGCTGGCTGGGAGCCCTGGCCTTGGTCTGTTGCTAAAAAGCCTCAGACAGACAGTTGAAGGTTTGGGCTGTCGGTGCATGTCCAGACAAAGCCATGGGAATGTTCCAGAACCAGGAAGCTGGAGCCACCGGGAGGTGGTGGGACAGCCAAGCTCAATGAGTCCTGCCAGGGAGTCCAGGAGGGCAGCTGGGAGCTGGCGTGATCGGGGTGGTGACTTCCTGGGCCCGGAGGTCAAGGGTCAGGGGCTGTGATTTGTGTCCCTGCCCTGCAACTTGGTGAGGTTTGAAACTATTTCCAAGTGAAAAGAACGCAGGCAGGTTTCTGGATCCACTTTCCACACTGTCACTTAACCTCCGTAGTGGTTAATCAACTCTCTCCTTGATTTCTTCCTCTGTAAGTGGGCACAGAGCAGCCAACTAGGGCTTCTGTGTGAGGAGCAAGGAGCTGAGGGCCTGCTGGCCTACAGAGATTCCGGCAGATACTTGACCCAGCAGCAGCTGTCCCAGTGGGTACTACTTGCTTCGTGCTGCAGATGACAGAATGGAGGCACAGAGAGGTTGAGTAATGGCCCTAGGACACAGTGAGGGGAGTGGCTGGTCCACACCCAACTCTGCAGACCTCACAGCCCTGACCTGGGTTGTGGTGAGGGCTGAAGGGGGCCCAGGAGTGGTGTGCCTGCAGGGAGCAGAGATGAATTGCCACAGGCAGGCCTGTCTTGACACGTGATCATGGGCCCCTGGCGGAGTGGAAGAGGCTGGAGCCACCCACCAGCCCGCTCCCCATCCAGGAGTCTTCAGTCGCCTGCCGGCCAAAGGAAAGGACAGAGCTGAGAGTAGTTCATGCCACTGAGTGCTCACCCTTTGCTCTCTGGGCTCTTCTTTCCCATTTTGGGTAGGAATGGGCAGTACTTTCTGGGTTGTCAGTGGTTGGCTCTGCCCTGCCGCCCCCCTCCCCGGGTTTCAGCCCAGAGGGACCGGGTGGAGTGAGGGAGGAGCCTGAGCCTGGCTGTGCCCCAGCCCCACCCTGCAGGGTGTGTGTGCTGAGCCCTCTCTCATCTCTCCCTGTCCCCAGATGAAGGTTGCAGTGTCCAGAGGGGGTGACCACAACAGTGACGGCGACAGCTTCCGAGAAGCCACCAGCTCCCGGAGGAGCAGTTCTCGGGACCAACTCAGTGATGTGAGTACCCTAGCTGCTTGCGGGAACACTTCCGAGTCCCTGGGGTCCAACCTTCAGCGGACACTGCAAGCCATTTGCTTAGGGGCCCGGAGTCTGAGTCCAGGGTTTTGTGCTCACAGTTAGCATTTGCCTTCTTTAAAGCATGACTGTCTACTAACTGGGGCCTCCCCACTAGGAGGGATTTAAATGAGGACCAACCATTAGGCACAGCAGGGCAAGTAGAGGCGACCGTGCTGGGGTGCAGTCCCTCTGTCCAGCTGGAGGGTAGGCTCGGGGTCAGTGCCCAGCTGGTGGCGGGCAGGGCTGTGGATGCCAAACAGCTCCTACAGATGTGTCTAAAGAAGGGTGGAGGCAGGGGGTGCGTTTCTGGACCAATGAGCTGCAAACACTCCTGCCTGCCCAGGCGGATCTGCCTGTCAGCTCAGGCTGGCAGCAGCACGGGGCATCCAGCATCCAGGTCTCTGCCACTGGGGGCCACGCGGAGGGGATGGTGCCCCTCTGAGGCACAAGCTGGGTGGGGTCTGGGGACGCCCTTTGGTGTGTCCTGTTGAAAAGGTCCCTGAGCTAAAGTCCCAGGGGACGGGGGAGAGGGGGGTCTTAGGACCCAGTTTGGGGATGATCCAGGCAACACATGAGGGCTCCTAGTGGGACGTGGCCAGCAATGGGGGTGCAGGGTATTCCTCCAGGGCTGCTGGGTCTCCCTAGACCTTGAAGAAGGGGGATGGGGCAGGTGTTACAAGGGCAGGGAGTAGGGGTTGAGGGGCTCTGGGTTGGGGGTGCGATGAGGACTCAGGCGGAAGAGCCCCCCCGTGGGGGGCAGCACTCCTGGAAGAGGCCTTTGTCTTCTTGACCCCCAGCTGCAGGAGTGGCGGCCTAGCGGAGATGGGTTTTCTGTAGGGCTAAATGGAACGAGTCGTCTCTCATTATCATTTAAATGGGGGCTGGGGGAGGGCTGGTGCGGGAGGCCAGGAGGAGGGCCTAATTGCCCGGCTCCAATCTTGTTGCCACAAGATGGGAAAATAGGCTGGTAATTGTCTGGGGCCGCGGGGGCTGCCCTAGTTCGAACTCCTCTAATTGCCGGCCAGGATGGGAGCAGGCGGATTGTAGGCACAGCACAGGCAGCGTGAGTGTGCAAGCTTGGGGGCAATTATGGCACCTGCCCCCCCCACCCAGTGGCAGGGCCTGGGGCCTGAGCTACCCCGGGGGTGAGGGGCCCCCCCACACACACACTGGGGTGAGCTTGGCCTGGCAGACCCCCAGGAACTGGCCTGGGGCCTGGCCAGGGTCTGCCTGGGGAGGGAAGGGGTCCCCTGGCCCCAGCTGAGCTGAGCAGAGTGGTCCAGGCTGCAGTGGCCACCCATCCTCCCAGAGGAATCTTGGCATCTGGACCTCAGTGTGGTCTGGCCCCAGGTCCGTGGGTCCCACACATTTCAGACAAGCTTGCCCTCTCCGGCTGTGTGGACGCCAGCCCCCCACCCCCCCACCTCCACCTGCTGGGTCATCACGTCCTGTCTGCCTGGGCCTCGGGGCTCAACCCTGGTGACCACCGCCTGCCCTGGGGAGCTGGTGAAATGAACCTAACTGGTTTTTCTCGTTAGATCTTAAGTGCCCATTTGAGCCAGAGGGCGCTCCATTAAGCATAGTCGGGGTCACCTTCACAGGACCTCTGGCATGACTGTTGGCCTCTAGGCCATAGCTGACCCCCCTGCCCCCATCTGACATCTGAGGCCCCAGGATTACCTGCCTAGCTCCTTCTCCAGGAAACCTTCCCAGGCTTTTCCGTTGGACCCTGTGACCCTGGGAGGCTGGTGGGTGGTGAGGGAAAAGCTGACCTGAGCACAGACTGGGGTCAGCCCCTGACCCAGAACCCCACGTGGAGAGGTGGGGCACGTCCTCTGGGAGGGGCTGAGCCCACCCCTGGAGAATGTGGGGGCTTTGCCACCTCTCTGCCTTGAGACTCCTCTGGGCTGGACCATACCTCCAGGTCTGGGGATGGAAGGTTCCTCTGTGGGTCCTTGGGCCCTGCCGCAGGCTGATCAGTGTGGCCCCAGCCCGGAGTTCCAGCGAAGACCCAGGATGGGCTCTGCTTGCTCAGGTCCTCAAGGGAGAGGGTGACCATCACGGGCTGCAACCGGTTCCTGACTGTCCTTCTTCCTTCCCTGCAGAGCTCGGCGCAGGCAGTCTCAGGCAGAGGTTACTCCGTAAGTCTCCCACCCTCCTCCTGCTGTCTGCTTCCCTCACTCTAACCGCGACCCTCGACCCACGGGAGCCCCGACTGTACTGAACGCTTCCCCTAGGCTGGAAATGGAGTTTGTACAGGATGGGGATGGGCCAGAGTGGGAAGAGATTCAGAGGGACCGGGACTCTGAGTCCTGCCCTGCAGAGGAGTGGGCAGTGGGCTGGACACCCTGGGTTCTGTGGGGCAGCGTTTGGTGTCGGGGCTCCTGCACATGGAGCAATTGCAGCGTATGCCCTCCCCGCTCTGCCCCCTGCCCCCAGGCCCTGACACCTTCTCCCCGGCTGTGCTTGGCCCGGCCAAAGAGGCTGGACAGGGTGTGAGGCACCCACTCTTAGCTGTCATCAGGGGCTCAGGGGCGGGAGGGGGGCCGGCCTATTGCTGCTTGATACTCCGGCCATGGCGGGGGCCACCCTCCCTGTCCCCCAGCCCCCTCCCCGTGACTTTATTTCATTTCCCCTTAAGTATCAGGAGGCCCGTTAATGACACCATAAAACCCAGAGCTCCATAAAAGCCGTTTCTGCAGATTTACGGCCGTTTCAGCTCATTGGAGGGCAGGGGCCTGGGCTCCGCCTGCCTCATCCCGCAGCTCCTGATTAACTGCGAGTTCCAGAGTTCCAGGGTCTGACAGGCAGGCTCTCTAAATCACAGCGGCTTTTTATAGGGTGTGTAATTAACCCATTAATTCCCCGGGTGGCAGGGACAGCCTCGGGTCCCTGGCCCTCCCCTCCCCCAGCTCCTCGACCCCCAGGGTCTGCCAGCCCAGGCAACTCTGCCTTCTGCCTCAAATCCCGAGCCAGGCTGTAGCATCTTTGAGCCTTTGACCGGGGGCGCTGTACGCTTCTGGGCAGTGGCCCCAGGTGGCTCCCAAGGTGTGCTTTCCTGGGAAGGCCTCTGCCCTCCTCGGGCAGCCCCTGTACTCTGATCTGTTGTCGCGGTCATGGTTGGTGGCCCCAGGCTGCTCCTTCCTCCCATGGGCCTGGGTGGTCCTGATGTGCCAGCCGCTCCTGACTGTTGACGGGGGTGGTTGGGCCAGGCCTGGACAGGAGCTGTGCTTTGGGAGGCGCCATGTGGTCCAGGTTGGCACTAGGGCAAACTGGGGCAGTGATGGGGAGTTTTGGGGGCAAGACTCAGAACACCCACTGGCCTGCACCTGTCCTGGAGGGTCTGGGAGTCCCGAGAGACTGGGCCCAGAGACACCCCATGTGGAGCCTCCTGAGACGCCTGGGGCAGCTGGGGTCTCCCTGCCAGAGCCTCTGGGCAGCCCTCTGCTTCCATACCACCGTGTGTCATTCGTGGTCTTCTCCGCAAAATGCTGCTTTGAATGTTTCCTGGACAAGAAGTTGTAATTCACATGCCAGCTGCTTTCAGCTTAGCCCCCACTGCGGCTGCACGTGAGTGACAGATGGTGGGAGCAGCAGCCCAGCCTGCTGCTCAGCCCTGGCGGTTCCTGAACCACGTCTGCAGACACACTGGTGTGTGTGCGCCAGGCCCTGGTGTGAGCAGGTGTGCCCGCAGGTCCCCGGCATGTGCTGGGCAGCACTGCAGGGCTTGTATGGTCAACCCTGTTGGCCCTCTTGTCCATTTGGCGTGGTGGAAGCCTCCCCTGGGGCTGGAGGAGTGGGCGGGGCCCCAGAGGACCCTTGCCCGGCAGGCCGAGGCTGGGGGCTGGCAGGTGACCCTGCCAGGAGCCGAGAAATGAGGCTTGGAGGCCGGCTAGGACCCTGCTTCTAGATCCAGAGTTCACCATGGAGCTGTCAGGCACAAGGGTGACACTCAGGCTGAGGGCCCTGTTTGTGTAGGACTCGCAGTGCAAGGGAAGTGTGTGTTGTGTAACCCTGTATGTTCACATGTGTCTGTCTCTCCCATGTGCCTACAAGGCGGTGTCTCTGTGTGGCCGTGGCGGGGCTCCACGCCTGCACCCAGAAGCATTCCATGTTTCTCTGTGGCCATTTGTGTGTGGGTCTGTGTTTTGTCCTCTTAACTGTCTGTCTGGAGGCACCTGTGTGTGTCTGTGGATGCAGCAGTTGGGTGTGTGTGTGCCACACTGCATGTAAGTGTCCATCTGGGAGCCCGTGTCTGGACATGGCACCAATGTGTCTATATATGTATGACTGTGGTTGTGCAGTGTGTGTGTGTGACCTGTGGCCATGTGGCATTGTGCATAGGTGTGTACATTTGCACACACCTTGCCGTTTGTGTGTCAGCATTTAGGGCCTCAGGCTCAGGAGGGGTCACGCTTGTCCTTGCCTCTCCCCACAACGTCCCCGTGCTAGGTGACACAGGGTATTTGTTGTCTGACCTGGATTATAGATCATACTTAAAAGTTTAATTTGCCAAGATTTATCCCCAGCAAATCCCCAATTATTGCCCGTTCTCAACATCATATGTCCCGAAAGCTCTCCAGCACGCCGCCAGAGGTTCGTTAGTGCCATAAAATTAGTTAGAAAGTAATTTTCTTAATTTGACTGCTTGCAACCAAGGACACGAGGATCCATCTCCTGCTGAAGCAGGGGACTTGGGAGTTTCTTTATTAAAGAGAAATGAGGACCTAGACGCCTCACAGGCAGGAGGCTGCCCTGCCCCCACCCTGAGTGTGTAGCCTGGGGACAGGGCTGAGGACACAGGTGATCCAGTGTCCCGGCAGGTGTCCTCAGGGTGGGTGTGGTCGGGGAGGGGGCAGAGAACCCCTTGCAGCCCCCACTGTCGGGAGGGGCCTCCGCTCAAGGCCACACTCTGAGCTCAGACCCACTACCCACTCCAGGCTCACCCAGGCTTTCCCTGCCAGCCCCTCCCATCCAGTCCCCGCACCAGGCCCCTCGCTGTCACCCTCTGAAGGAAGCCTGCCCGCCCCAGCCCACGGCACCAGAACCCAGCCGGCTGCTGGCCTCCAGGTGCCTCTCCCACCCTCACTAGCTGGATCTCAGCCCGAGCTGCCGTCCTCCCACCCTCCCTGGGCTGGGATACAGCTCTCACCTCCAGGTTCCTCCTCCCCTCAACGGACATTTATTGAGTATCACCGCCACTGGAAGGAACCAAACAGCCAGTGTCCCTGCCCCTGGGGAGGTGGTGAGCGCCATGAAGACGCTTGAGTAGCCTGGCGAGACCTCCCAACCCCGCCCTGACACGCAAAGGCCCTGCGGTGGGAGGGGTCGCCACCGGCAGGAACAGCAGGTGGGCGGGCTGGGAGGTGAGGCTCTAACTGGGTTCCCAGCAGAGCTGTGGTGGGATTGAGAGAAGGGAGCCGCCTGCCTGTACCCCGGCCAGGCAGCCTCCACACCAGGTGCAGAGGGCCGGGGGTGCTCACCAGAGTCGGGTGGGGCCCCACCTGCCAAACCGCCAGGGTAGCCCCCGCGCACACACATACATACGCACGAGGCATAATTAGCTTATTGGCTTGATTGCCTTCAGGGGATTTCTGGAAATGAATTTTGGCTCGTTGGTTGGGCTGCTGACAGTTAATTTCTCAGAGAGCCTGCTAATCTCCCATTACCTCCCCCACAGCACCTCCCATCCCCGGTCTCAGGCAGGTACACTTTGGGCTCTTGGTACAGTTGAGTGTCATCTTGCTTGGGGCCACGAGGGCCTGATGCAGCCTGTAGCACACCCCTGGCCAGTCCCTTCCCCTGGGAGTCTGGGCAGTTGGACAGAGTGGAAGCTAGCTGCTGGTGTGGCCCAGGCAAAGCTGACATGAGGGCTGGCAGGGCCCAGGCTGCTGCTGTGCCAAACAAGCAGTTGCTGAGGAAGCCTGGGGGGGTGGGGGCTCATTTCGGAAACACCTAGACATCTGGGGGGTAGGGTCATGAAAGGCTCTTGATGTCTGGAGCTTGATGCCAGCTCATGGTTGGCGGCCTCTGTTCCCCCGACATGGGGCCTACCTCCATCGGCTGGTTGGACTTCCTTACAGCATGGCGGCGGGTTACCAGGGTCCCGAGAGCCAGGAGGAAGCAGTAGCAGTGGTGTGGCCTAGCTTCCTGATGCTCTGTTATCACAGCCTCCCCGCCTCTGTTCATGGGGAGAGGCTGTGGACCCCTCCTATCTGTAAGAGCTGTGTCAGCAACTCGTGAGAGGGGTACAGGTGCATGGCAGTCTGAGGAAGTACAGGCCACCACCCGGAGCCCCTACCCATCCTGACAGGGCCTGTCACACTCGCTGGGGCACAACAGCTTCTACTGGGGAAGACAGGCATGCACACGTGTGTGTAACAGCTAACAGCAGCCCGCACACATCTGCCAAGCACCTGCGGTGGCCAGGCCCTGTCCACTGTGGTGATGGACGAAGCCAGTCAAGCTCTTAGCACAACAGCAGGGCCGTGTGTCCCATGGGCTCTGAGTGCCTATGTGTGTTGACACGTGTGTGCATGCACTGGAAATGGTAGCTGTGGCTCTTGGCTCTGCACTCAGGTTTCTCACCCCGCCACCCTCATCCACTGATAGAAGGGGCACAGTCTTGCTTTCTGGGAACTGTGGGCCTGGGGCTTGGGAGGGCAGGCAGAGAGACTCCTGGGGATGGGGTACCTGGTCGGCCGCATGTGGGTCACTAGCCAGCTTTGCTCCATGAGCCAGGGACAATTGTGGTTGAAGAGGAGGTACGGCACGTGGTGGGGAACTCGACTCTAGTGAGCATCCAAGGGCGAGAAAGCTGGTGGACATGTGCCCAGGGAGCCCCTGAGCCACGCTGAGACCTGCCTGCCCCATGCCCACCTAGGAGCAGTTCAGCCCCCCTGACAGCAGAGCCATCTGCTTGCTCTGGCCAGCGCGGGCCTCCCCTGACCCACCCCACACACAGCCATGCAGTGCAGGCTCCATCTTTATGAGGCAGGTTTATGACATCCATTACCCTGCTCCTTGGGCACTTCTGAGCAGCCGTAATTTGTACAAAAACAATAAAAGCCCGTCAGGCTCTCCCTGGAATCAGAAGCTGAATGCTCCTCTCGCCTCTGAGCGCAGGACAGCCCTTCAACCG